GCCCCAGATTCTAGATCTGTCTTTATCAGTAACCAACTGTGATTTTTGGCAAGTCACTGTACCCTCTCTGTGTTTTGGTTTCCTTATCTCTAAAATGGGAGTAATACTATCTGATGTGTAGACCTCAAAGCTTAGTTGGGAGGATGCAGTGAGGTGAGGTATGGGGAAGCCTTCTGGAAAGTGCTATACATAGGTGAAATGTTATCATCATAGGAAAGAAGGGGAGACATGAGATGTGAGGGGAAAACAGGGCTTTCAAATCTAGCAGGCCTTGTAGATTAGGCTTGTGCAAACAATGATGAAAATAAATACACGGAGAGGCATTATACTCCCTTTTATTAATAAGAATGGGGAAACTGGGAAAAGTGAGGACAGGGAGTGTGGCCAGCAAGCTCTAGGTAGACAGAGTGGGAGAACATCTATAAGTTCTACTTTTATTACTATTTTCTTTAAAGCCTGGAAAGATCTCATCAAAAATGAACATGTTTGAGAAGTACCCATGTCAGACTCTGAATTCTTAGGCTGTGGGAATATACTAACTCACTCTGATTGAGAGGATTGGCTTTATTTTGCAATCCAGTAGGCATCAGAATAACATACCTGCCTTTCTTCTTGAAATTTTGTCAAGATTAAACAAAATAATTTATGTCAAATTGTTTTTGATGAACTGCATGATGAACTATAAATTATAGTACAAAATGATAATATGGTGACTCTATTGATGCTAGTTATTCCTGTAACAGTTATATTTATTTTTTCTTCAAAATGATTACTGTATACATTTTTTAAATTATAAAAATCAAATGTGCTTACAAAAATTTAGATGTACCAAAAGGTATAATTAAGAAAATAAAAATCAAATAGAATCCTGTTACCAAGAGATAAGAATTAACAATATTTTGGTGAATGGTCATCCACACTTTTTTGGTGTTTGTGAATAATTAAAAAAAATCAAAATAGATTTGTTAATTTTTCACTCATTCTTTAATTTGTTCACATTTATGTATTAGTAGATAGAATGCTAATCATGTAGTTTATAATTTCTTGAGGGAATCAAACAAACAGATGATTATTATGTAAAATGAAGCATGCTACAATGGGGAAGCAGTGGGTGCTTGGGAGCATTTAGGAGGAGCTCCTTTCCTCGGCTTAGGGAGTCAAGGGAAGCTTTCTCGAGGAAGGGACCTCTAGGTTGAGACCTGAAAAATGACTAGAGGTAACTAGACTGTAGCGGATGGTGTGGTGTGCCACCAGATACCTCTTAAAGGACTGGGCCACTTATCCCGCAGGTGGCAGTAGTCTTGCCTTTGATGGCTCTTAGCTGAAGTCCTATCCAGGAATTGCCTTCTGCTGAAGGAAGCTGCCTTGCTCAAGGTTATCTCATTGCCACAGACAGGTGGGGTAAAAGGGCCACCTCCTTGCCTCGATTAGGACAATTCTAAAGGGCCATCCTAGTTCCAAACCTCCTCAGAGGTTCAGCTGAGGCCTCAGTTGCACCTCCATGGCAGTTTAACTTTTCCCTCTGCCAAATCCTGCTTCCCTTCTTCTTTATAGATGTTGTTTCCAAGAGCAGTGCCCAACAAAAGTCCTGCACAGAAACCCTCACCTCAAAAAAAGAAAAGAATGGTAATTATGGTGAGGATGCAGGGAGTATGTTACTAAAAGATGAAATGGCATGTTCAAGGCCTAGAGGTGTTTGAGGAGAGGAAGGATTTTTACAAAGTCTGGAATGTGGGATTGAAGTCAGTGGGGGAGGGACATGATTCCAGAAAGAGAATCCAGCTCTTGTAATCCATGTTTTGGAAATGGGGAATTTGGGCTTTATTGTAAGGCCAATGGGAAACCCTTTAAGGTTGTACATCATGGAAGAAACATGATCTGATTTGTGTTTTAGAAGAATCATTTTGGTTGCTCTGTGGTGCCATTAATGAAAACTCTTGTTATTATGATTACTGTATGTTTTATTAGAATATTGGAGTGACTCATGACTCCATCTACATGTCATACCTTTACAGAATGAATGACAAACTGTAAGCCCCCCAGGCAAGTCATGTAATAAACACCAGTATTGTAGCAGTATTGTAAAAACTCGAACTCTGAAGGGATTCAATCACAGTGCTTCAGTCTTTTTTTTTTTTTTTTTAACTTGGTTTACACTGTTTTAAGTATTTAATGAGCACTAATTACTTGCCAGAATGCACTGTGCTGTTGCTGTGGAGGATTCAAGCCAAAAGGTCCAAGTAGAAGGTTGTGCCTGTCTTCTCCATTGCTCTACCCACTGTAGTGCCTGACAAATAGTGAGGGGTAAATAAATAAATAAACGAAGGTGGAGTCTCAGAAACGGGCAAATTACTTAGTCCTCATGACCACAAAATGGGGATAGTAGTGGCTTCCGACTCTTCAGTTTGTTGTGAGGGATAAGTAAGATAATGTAGATAAAACACTTAGTTCACAGGCTATTTAGCAAAAATCATAGTTACTGAAATCATTCAAGGACTGTTTGTTGCTCTCAGTATTCTAGAAATAAGACCTTAAATGATTACAACCAAACTTCTGATATCAATTTCTCTTTTGTCCTCTTCACTCTGTAATATCACTTTGAAAGAAAAATGTGATTTGAAACAAGGTTAAAAGATTCATTCACTCATTACTTTATTCAATGAATTGGTTTTGAGGGCATCCAAAGTGCCGGATATAGGTTATACAGTGGGAACAGAACAGACATAATCCTTGTTCTCATGGAGCTTATAGTCTAGAAGGGAGATGTTAAAAGAAAATTTCATAAATTATAAGAACCATGAGAGAAAATAATAGAAAGAAACTAATTTTGATGTGGGAATCAGGTAAGGCCTCTCTGAAGAAGTGACCTTTAATCTGAGAAGTAAGAGTAGGAGTTTCATTAAGAATAGGGATAAAGCACTCCATGCAGAAGGAAAACCCCTGTTCATAGACGCTGGGGTAGAAAAAACTGCTTGATCCATTAAAAGGATGGAGAAAAAGCCGCGTGTCAGAGAGGAGAGAGATGAAGCTGGAAAGAAGGCGGGGACAGATCTTCAGGACCTTTGTTGCCACATGATCTTTCTTTATCCAGACTAAAAGGATACACAAACTGACTAAAATCTGACTGCCCTCTATTTCAGAGTAAGTTCTTGATGCCGGTTAAATAGGAGGATAGGTAAAACTGCAGTCTGAACAGTCGTATCTAAGTCTTGGGAAAAGTTGGCTATTTTTTCCCATGTAGTCATCATGATGAATGAAAAAGCATATAGCAAAGGTGCTTAGTTGTTTGATGAGAGAACAAATATATTTGCAGAAATATATTGCATATTGTTCTACCTACATTTCAGATAGGGTGGAAATATTCACAAGTCTTTTTTCTCTTTCCCTCCTGCCCAACCCCCTTTTTTTCTTGCATTTCTTTCTTTCAGCAGAAACAATCAATGAGAGGAGGGGACAATTTAGAATCAAGATGCTGCGGTGGTTTCCGAGGAAACACAGGAGAATTTTGGGTGCCATAAGTGTTTGGGTAGTGGCTTGCATAATGGATTTGCTTAGAGAGGCCTCTCTCTCAGTGATTAGAACAACCTGTGTTCTGGAATACAGTATTTAAACAGCGAGATTGGCATTGTTATCTTCCAGGATGGTAAAGGTTTAATTAACATTTGAAAATGCTTTGAGATCTTTGGATAAAAGTGTTCTGGAAACATGAAGTGTTATTATCTTTGGAGTGATATAGGTCATGTGACACAGGAAGTGGCTTTGAAGGAAAGGAAAACCTTTCATCAGGCAAACTCCTTAGGGTGGTTTGAGCCTGTTTTGAGTGACTCAACATGCCCGTGTCATCTCTCCCTAGACTGTGAATGAAAGGAATAACTTGGCCTACAGCTTAGCAACTGCCACCATCATTAACCGAAAAATTTAGTAAGCTTGTATGTTAAACACTCTACAAATTACGCAGAATCCTAAAGTATTTAGCACAGTTATCCTTTAATAAGCATTGAATAAATATTAACTGTTACTTTTTATTATTAGCTGTTACTGTTATATTATAATATTACCTGTTACTATTATTGTTATAGTTGAAGACCTCTGGATTTTCTCTGAATTTAATGCCATTTAAACAAAGAATTTAGTATTCTTCAGTGATAAATCAACTTTACTTTCATTTTCGAGACTTGGTAAAGAGCAAAATAAATGTAAACTGTCACTATAGAGACCATAATGTGAGGGCTACAGATAAGGCAGGTTTAGTGTCTGGAACCTTTCCTGGAAGATTGGCTACTTAGTCTTTCCCTTTCCCAGGAAAAAGGACCCAAAGCTGAAATTAGGTTTCCTAACTTTCGTTCCTTGATGGTTCCCCAGGCTCTTCAGTAGACAGGATTTCAAAGAGAACACTTTAAAGTAGTTCCAATTTATTTAAGAGTAGAAGGGCCGAAGGATTTCATCCTGCTTCTTCTATTAACTTACGTATCTTCATAATACTGCCTGGAAATGTGGAAGATGGGACAGGGATTGGAGTGGAGAACAGGAATACGGTTCATTTGAAAAAAGTTTATTTTTGAGGAATATATATGTTAAACCAAACCTGCCCATGTGTATTCGTGAAATTAATTTTGCCAGCTAGATGACCCAGGGTCTTTATAAATATACAAATTTGTCTCAAATATTATATATATACATGCACACATACTTATATTTATTTATGTATTTTTTACAAAGCAAAACTGCTTTTGAAGAACATAGCACAGGAGGGAAGGAGGGAGAGGGAATCAAGAAAACGGTGTCTGGCAAGAGGCTGTCGACAACCGGCTAGTGAGTCTAAGGGTGCAGTAGAGAGCGGGGAGCATGCTGGGAAGGCGGCTGCCCGGAGCATGCTGGGAAGGCGGCTGCCCGGGGCATGCTGGGATCGTGGTTGTCCGGGGCATGCTGGGATCGTGGTTGTCCGGGGCATGCTGGGATCGTGGTTGTCCGGGGCATGCTGGGAAGGCTGCCAGAACTGCTTATCCGGCTCCTGAGGCTGAGGAAGGTACCCCCAGGCGCAGGCACACAGTACAGTGGGGTCAAGCATCTAGCTGACCTAATTAAAAGCTCATTACAGCAGCCCATCCCCATTAACAGGCTGACCCACGTGCAAATCTATTAACACAGGAGTCTTCTCTGCTTCCCAAACCAGGAATCCCAGCCGCAGCCCCGGGGCCTGGAAACTCCGGCCAGTTTATTAAAGTGCCTTCCCCGCCTGTGACCATCAGGTACAGTTTCTTCCTGGATTACTTCACATTCCAGTAAATTAGTTTTATCCGCTCTGAAACATTTGAACAAAGAAAGCTCTCTGGTCATCACATGGGTAAAATAACAAGGGATAAAAGAACGTGTACTTCACCTAATCAGAAAGAACGCTAAATCTTTCTTGAAAATGCAGCCTTTCCTGTCCCGCGACCCTTTTCATTTATCTTAACGCTGGTGGGATTTTGAAATTTTCGTCCATAGTCAGACTATGGTACAGGTCCTCCTTTCCTTGTATTTTATATAATTGTTGCCGACCTCAGAAGGTCTCAAAACTTGTTAAGTATAAAGTTGGTAAATGATACTATTGCTTGGGAGGTGGAGGTGGGGGTGAGGGTGGGGGTGGGGGTGGGGTGGGAGCAGGGGGTTTATCTAGGAAAAAAGAAAAAAGGAAAATGCACCCTAACCAGGCTCAAATGAACTGAAATGGATCAAAGTAAACAGAGACATCTAAAAGCTTTTGTAAGTTAAAAGTGGCTATCTGTTGCAGGTCTTGCCTCATTAACCGCTGATTGAAGCTCTGCTTGGCCCTCTGGGATACCTAACACCCCAGACCTATCGCCAGATGAACCCGGCTTAGGCGCTCTTGCCTTTCCCTGTGTTGCTTTGCACAGCTCCTTGACCTCAACCTTCTTACAAATGTTTATCCTTCCTACCAGGCAAAGGGAGAATCTTACCGGGAATCTCACTTCTAGCCAATGAGGAATTTTCAGAAAAGCGAAATGGAAGGAATCATTTTGTCATCTCTGCAAATCTGTATTCTGAAAGGTAGATGCACAGCTGTGGTGTTTTAAATAAGCCTCTGCACAACATTATGTAGGGGAAAGAGTCCACAGTTTGTTTTTCCCTGGGTGTCGCCTCATTTTCATGTGTGAATGGTGAAAGGTGGTGATTAGGCCATATGCTTTAAGATATAGCTATCTGTTGGCCCCCATGGTCCCAGCCCGTCACCAGGCCATTCAGCTGGGACAGGGAGCTGAAACTGAGAGGCTGTCTAGGAAAGGCAGAGAGAATGGTAGAAGGGGAGATCTGGGGGAGGAGGGGAGGGAGGAGCAGGGCTCTTTGAGTAGGACCAGATAGGTCTCTGTGTAGAGTAATATTACAGCTCTTTCTCTCATAAACAAGCTGCATGCCTGCTTCTAAAGACCCATCTGGCATAGCTTTGAGAATGGCAATAATTACAAGCTGATGATGGACATGGAAAAAAAGCCCCGCTGAGCTAACTCATAAGGAAGTACAGGCCAGGACTGCGGGGAAATTACAGGCTGAAAACCTTTCTAGTTTAGGCCTTTTGGTGTTCTTAATCACAGACTTTAAATGTTGTAATAAACACTGTTGCATTTTATTGACCAACTCCCATGACAGGCAAATCTTTTTCATTTTATTTTATTTTTACCATTTGCTCTTTGGAAAGCTGCTTGGTAGTATCTACCTGTGCCGTGCCAATGGGTCTTTTGCTTTTCTGTTCGTAGGAAAATTAGGAAAACAAGAGTGACTTTTTATTTAGTTCCCAGAAATTTGCAAATTTTTTTTCTAAATTGTTCTCTGTGTTCTGTGGTTCAGACAGACTTCCAGGCTCGGTGCTTAACTTATAGCTGTGTAAGATAATGGTCTGGTAGTTTCAGTCAGGAAGATTGAAGAGGATTACAAAAAGAAAAACAAAGAGTCAACTTGGGAAGATTAATCTATGATTCTATTCTGTATCATCCAATAGTGTTTATGATATAAAAACAAGTAAAAATCCAAGCTAAATACTATATTGTTAGATTAATGGAATGCTAAGTCCTGGCCTTGTTTTAGAGATAGATAGTCCTTATTTCAAGGATGGATTTGATATTGGAAGGACGATCCTTTTCAAAGTTTTGGAGCTTTTACAAGTAGAACTAAGACATTTTGTCCTTTCAAACATTTTAGACCACTTAATGGAGCAAATACTTTTAGGAAATTATCCTAAGAAGAAGAAAATGGAAACACTGGAAATGAATTTACTTCCCTGAAACATTATTAACCTCAAAATACACAGTTTAAATGTCATAGCAAAGGAAGTCTTCAATATAGCATATTACCAGTTGCTGTTATGAGCTTGACACTGTAATGAGGAAATTTATTCTAATTTAACATATGCTATCAGTCTCCATGAAAAGAATTTGATGTTCATTTTATACATTTTAAAAGTTTGAGGTTAGATATAATGAAGAATCACATGGATTAGGATTTTTATTGACCCTATTAACTTATACAAGTATATTCTTGCTCAAAATATACCTTTTTGGAATTTAAAGCAGAACATGTAAAGTTGGTTATTCTTTAAAGCACTAGATACTGCTTCTGGAACCATATTTTCAAGTGTTTCCTTCTGTGCCACAATTTCTTATTCATATTCCTTAAAGACTTGTATTTTATTCTTTGTGTTTTGTATACAGTCCTTGCTATCCCAGATGGATTATTTAGTTCTATCCTTTGCATTTGATTACTTGTTCAAGCACATAAAGTTTTGGGGTCTATGAAGTTAAAGTAATGAAATGGTTGTGCAATGGAAATTTACCAATGTAAACTTAGTCTCTTGTCCTTTCATAAGCATTGCTTTACCTGAAGCTCCCTTGTCAATGAGAAATTATTTCCTTATATCTGTCTCTTTTCCTGTACAGGCTAGAATTGTTCCTAACAAAAGAAGCATGAATTGGCAAAAACTATATATTAAATACAAGACTATTTGTCTAGTTTTCATTAGGTTGCTGAGTGAAAAGCCTTAATTCCTCTCTTTTCCCAAGGTACTCAGATATCCACGAAGTCCTCCTCATCTCGCACTATCATTTCTCTCACTGGGCACAATCCAGCTTTAAAGAATTCAACACTTACTGGTCTTCAGAGGACTGTCAGCAATGACAGCAACCAGGGATGCTGACATGTCTTGTTGTTTACAAAGGATGAGCACAAGGCCTTTTGGATGATTTGATAAGCTCTGCAACTCCTCTCTCACTGTTTCTCACCTCTCTGGACCAACTGCCTTTGTGTGGTGAGCTAAAGATGCAAATACTAAAACTTGATCTAAACACGGACAAGTCAGCAAACACAGCAGCAAAGATAAAGCTACTCAAGGTTATTGTGTAAATTGTGAAAACAGAAACAAGAATATTTCAGTCCCTAAATCCGTATATGCAGATCACTTAAAATTGGATGGAAGAAAATCCTGGAATAGCATTAAATTCACATATTATTATTATAGCCTTGAATATTTAATCTGTTTCTCACATTAGCATCCTTCCACTTCTCTAGAAAACCCAATCAATGTTGTAGTTAAACTAAGTAAAAAGATTTTTTTTTAAAGTATCCCGATTATACTGTTTCCTATTTAGGGAATTCAGAAATGTCTTGGAAATTATGCAAATGCACATGCTTTTCCTCATTCATACTTTGTAAAGTGAAAATTTCTTTTCAGGAAGGGGACCCTGGGAAGTTGGACCTCCTTTCTCCTTTCCTTTGCCTTTCAGTGTTGAACACATGGAAGAAAGGAAGGTTTCATGTGTTTATGTTGTATTTGGTTCAATGCTTTTCTTAAATGATATATAAATATAACTCCACCAATGCATAGAGTTTAGGGGTATTGTCTTTCTTAAATTCTTTGTAATTGATTGAGACAATACTGTTTATCTTCTAAAGATGTCAGACTATTCCTAGAAATGAGCTCTTGCAAGGTATGTGTACAAAAGATTTTTACAGTAGGCTTTTTTGCTCCCCGTGCTATCTTTCTTACAGAAATGTGATTGCTGAAAATATGTGTATGCCACAGTCAACAAAGTGCCTTTTTAAATATTAGCAACTTAAAGCCCACATCAATCATGAAACTATAGCTTGACGTTGACAGTTACAGAAAGGGATTTCATTTTGATTATGAGATAGAATCTTATGAGAATTGGTCACTGCTGACAATCTGGTCCGCTCTTTCTGAACAGTTTTCATAAGAAATATGCTTAATCTTTACCAAAATATCTGGCTGTAGAATTAGCTCCATTTCTAAATCACTACTCCCTAGTTACTGACTCTCAGATTGCTGTTAAAAATGGTTATTCCCTTTTCACAGGTGGTGAAACTGAGATTTCCAGATCCATGCAGCTTTATGGAATATATTATGGATGAAATATGAACCCAGGTCTATGTGCTTCCAGGTAAGTTTTCCATTTTGCCACACTCTGCTGTGAGCTTAGTCTGAAGGTGGAGTTTTAACTGGGACACTGAGGACAGAAGGGCCCGTTAATTGAGACTTTGAACGTGAGAAACAGTGGAATGCAAAATAGCATGCTCACAGCTGTTTTCAAGCAATAGCACTGTCTAAAACCACTGGGAATGAATAGACCTATGTGGCTAGAAATTGATGCAAAGGAAGAATATTCACTCTGGGTCAGTTTTTGAACCTGTAGAATTAGCTAATATTGTTGATTTTGCTCATGGCTGCCTCTCTGGTATGTTGGAGGCAATTTCCATCTTCCTAAACATGTTAAATGCATTTTGTGATTTTAGCAGGCTAAAGTGTTAACTCTTGTTTAAATATCTATATTTAGCATTACTCATAGAAGTAACACAATTACCTTCTTTTCCATACAGAGAGATTGACTTTTACAGAAAAGTATTCAAGGAATTCATTGGACCATTATGTTAGGGACACTTATTCACCAATACCAGATACAAAGTTGATAAAGATTTGTGCCCTTATGGGATGTACTATTCATATACTATTATTATTGTGACCTTGAATATTTAATCTGTTTCTCACATTAGCATTCCTATCCACATATAGATTGGGCTTACTAGTGCAATTTCTAGCAAAATGAGAATGTTACCAGTAATCATCACACAAAGAATGTCATGGTAAATCAAGGCTCAGAAAATGATATGCTACCTAAGGGATGTAGCACTGTGCTTCTACCCTGCTTCTTTTCAAGCCCAGTTACACCAGTTTCTTATTGTTTCTTCTTTAGTCTGGCTGTGGCATTCAGATATTTGTTCAGCTCCAGGTTTTTGTTATTTCTGTTTTTTGTTTGATTCTGGCTTGAGCTTGTGGGGAGTAATTGTGTAGTTTAAGGTCCTTCTGCGTCTAGCTCATCTTGAATCCATGTGTCATTTTCATGACTGGGTTTTGAAATTTCTCAAATAAATGCGTTGGTCTGCCTGCCTAGCGTTTGCATATTTCAGGCCTCTATCTGCAAAGAGAAGAGGCCATGAGATCTGCTAACACGCAAAAAGAAGATAAAAGCATTTTAAAAAATGCCTTCTTGCACACAGGCCTGCTTTATAATAAACCAGAGCAGTGCAGGAATTAAAATGCTGTTGAAATGCCAAAGTGTTTCTGCCCTTTTATTACATCTAGGGTGATGAGGTCATGGCTTACTGTTTAGCTTATATGGTACAATTAAGAGATTCGTTTCTTAATGTGATTCATCTCAGGAAGAGTTGACTCAGAAAAGTTTTAGGGGAGAGGCAAGACTTATATGAGGAGATTTAGAAAAATTATGATTTTCTTCTGGAAGTTTGAGTTCATTTTTTATTGCAGGTAAGAATGAGGAGAGCTGTAATGAGTCTGTCTTGGATTTCTGAGTAACAGGGAGTTGTTGTTTTGAGACAGGATCTCACCCTGTCACCCAGGCTGGAATGTGGTGCTATGACCATGGCTCAGTGCTGCCTTGACCTCCTGGGCTCAGAAGATTCTCCCACCTCAGCCTCCCAAGTAACTGGGACCACAGACAAGTGCCGCCATGCCCTGCTATTTTTAAAAAATTATTTGTAGACGCAGGGTCTTGTTATGTTGTTCAGGCTAGTGGAATTTGATTACTTAATGCTAATAAGGCTAAAGAGGTGCTTTGGGTTTTGGCTTTTTTCTCCCCCTTTGGAATTAGGGCAAAAAAGTGAAGTAAATATTTATTTTATTAAGATATCATTATATCTTTATGTGTAGACATGTTTAAATAAAATAGTATCTCAGATATATAATAATATCTGGCCAGGTGTGATGGTTCACGCTTGTAATCCCAGCTCTTTGGGAGACTGAGGTGGGAGGCTCACTTGAGGCTAGGAATTTGAGATCAGCCTGGACAGCATAATGAGACTTTGTCTCTACAAAAAATAAAAAAAGTTTAGGCAGACATGGCAGCGCACACCTGCAGTCCCAAACACTTGAGAGACTGAGTTGGGAGGCTTGCCAGAGCCCAGGTGTTGGAGGCTGCAATGAACTATCATTGCACCAGTGCACTCCAGCCTAGGTGACAGAGCAAGACCCCATCTCAAAAAAAAAAAAAAAATATATATATATATATATACACACACACACACACACACACATATGTATATATATACACACAAAAATGTTTATTCATATAACCATGTGATATATATAACTTTTATATTTTATATATGCAGTTTTTTATTGTACTGCTTCTTTGTCAATCCCTGATTGGGTTCTTTCAAATATAGCATTTAACTTTCTATTGCTGAAAAAGAGGTAGTTTCTCCATTTAGTTAGGGTGGCAGTTCTCAATCACAGTCAACCCCTTCACAAGTATGTGACAATATAAAAATGTTGATAAGTAATGGATCAGGCCATCTGTATTATTTTATAAAAGATTTATTCTTGGGCCTCTGTTTGGACAGCACTTATTCCAATTCTTTCCTTCACTGCAAGTTGTCCTTGATTATGATTCTCAGCTTGGTCTTTTATCCACAGTCAACTTTTAGTGAAAATTCCTAATTTCTGTACTGGTTAGTTTAATATAACAAATGTTTATGAAATTCCTGTGCTGTTTAAGACACCCTGCTGGGTACTCAGGATCATTTTTGGAGGGATTAACTACTGTCTCTGTCCTTTAGAAGGAGATGGAAAATTTTGCCATAATGAATATAAGTCAGATTGGGGTAAACACTACAAAAAGGGGTAAGAAAGTATCACATGTGCCCTGAGGAGAGAGGAATTTATTTTGCCTAGGAATCTGGTAAGGGTTGCTAGACTTGGTGACATCTGAAATTAGTCCTTAAAGGAGAAACAATATTTTGAATAGATGAAGCGGGAGAAAACATGCTAAAGTTGCAGAGGTGTGAAAGCCCATAATAGAATCAAGGAAAGGAGAAAGGTCTGTTTCGACTTGAGCATTAGCTGTGTGTGAGGTGTGTATAAGGAGAAAATGGCAGGTGAGTTTGAAAAAGTAGAATATTTTCAGCTCCTGAGGGACATTGAACATTATGCTAAGAAACTTGGACTTGATTAATAAAAGAAAACAGAAAGCTAGTAAAAGTGTTTGGAGTGAGAAGGCACGCTATGATTATAACTGTACTTTAGAAAGGTAACTATTCAGGATGTTAAAGATAACTTGGGGTAGAGAGAAAGCAAGTGGAGACAGGGATCCATTGGCAGGCTATTATAATAATCCAGGTATAGGTGAAGTGATGTAGGACAGTGATAATAAAAGCAGAAGTGAGAGACATTCTGAGTCTAGAGCTGGATGTGGTGGGGTTCAGAGGTATTCACAGATGACTCTGAAGTTTGTAGTTCATGTAGTTAATAAATGAAGAAACCATGAACTGAGAGGAAGCAGGTTTGACGGAGAAAACAATGAGTATGTGTGACGTTTGTAATACACTATGATTATACGTGTCATTTCTTTCTTCATTTGAACTAGATTGTTACAGCCATTCTTTTTGATTCCATTATTAGAATTATACCCTATTTTGCTTTAAATGTAGGATCCTGACAGTTTCTGATTCCTCAAAAGAGGGGAAGAAAAGTTATATCTCCTCTCTACTACTTCTGAATACATTCCTGTTTACTATAATCTCAATGTGCCTGTGAGGAAGATCTTGAGCCCTACTCAAGGTAGACTCTTTGACCTAACTCCCCTTTTTCTGGCCATGCTTCTGAGGTTGAGACAATTAGAAATCCTCACTAATGCTTATAGGATTCTCAGAGTTAGACAGAACTGGCCTTTGTCAAGGTAAATTGGAGCCAAAGTGGATTCTTGGATCACGTATCTCCTGCCGGTTACGAAGCTGCCAGACCCCGTCCCAGTGGGTGGAAATGGACACCAGCCCCCGAGGAAGTAATGGCTGTACATGGGCGTCTGCTACCGCTGCTGCTTCCTCTCCTTCAAGAGGAAGGAAACCGTGGGCTTTCCTAGGCATTTTTCTTGTTCTCTTACACAGGGGAATTGAAGAGTCTTGGCCTTTGGAGTTTGAATAGTGAATCTAAGGCTGGAGAGGTTTCCAGAGAGCAGACAGTTCCTATCTCTGAACTGTTGTTACTTTCTTCTTCCACCCCCCTTCCTGTGCTGTACAATTCATTCTATTGCCAGACTTTTAGTATATAGTGTTAGCATGTCTTAATGGAGAGCCTGGAGTTGAAAGCCCCTGTAAAACTTCTAGGCAGAGAAACCTAAATGGAAGGAAGGAATTGTGCCACTGTGGTTTCCTCCTGCAAATAAAATGTAATTTGTAAAGATATTCAAACTTCTTTTTTTCTTTACCAGATTTGCACACCATGTATTCAATGACAAGTCCTCTTGAAAGGTGGTGAGAAGTGTTACTAAAATTCCAAATATCTACCTCTCATCTGATAAAAGCCATTCCGATGTTTGCAGTATGAATTTGTTTGCAGTTAGAATTCCCCACATTGAATACAAATCCCAATCTGCAGATTCAGCTCTGAATCTCTGGAAAATAGTGTGCAATGGGTAGATCGATCCAATTAGACTGTAAATTTAAGGCACCATGTGCTTTATCTGACTGAGCGTTAACAATTTATTCAGACCATTTTGCATCCCTTTTCCCACCCAAGCAAATTGAGAACACTACATTTGCTTCTTAATTTTTTTCCCTTCGTGTTATAGCACAAAATCATTTCTCCAGTTCCAGTTACTTTGATGTTTGCAGCAGCAATGATTAAGAGAAAACACATCTTCAAAAGAGGTGGAAATATGGTGAGCCTTTCCCACTGATAGTAGCTAATAAGCATATATTAAACAACTACAGAATACCCAGCACATTGATGAGTGCTGTGTGGTACAGAAAGAAACAAGCCCCTTCGTAGCTCACTGCAGACATATCTGAGTGAGGGAAGAAAGGGTTTGGAGTCCAGGAAAGGGAAAAACTGTATCATCATCTCATTGCTGGACTCTGATCCCTTAAAGCCCAAGTTGAGGGGGAAATGGTCAGAAGAAAAGCATATTTTCAGCTTTTTAGAGACGCTCCCATTTTAGAGACAGTCTAAGATGGAGATAGTAGGAGGGGAAGTTTGGATATGGGACGGCCAACTAGTTTATTTGCAATAGGCTGGTTTCAATTCTCCAAAGTAG